TCCTTAACGTAGTGGGTGTGGCCACGACAAACAAAATGGTGGCTTACACATGGACAAAGTTAGGAGCTTTCTAATAGCAAGAGAACATAATGATATAGTCTAAAGACTTCTCTACAAGCATCACAAGGTAGAGAGAACCTCTATAAGTCTTAATATAAATCAAGCTGTACTTGCAATGTAGTGAAATCAATTATAGGAATATTTTTTACACTGTTACGCTTGTTCTTTCTCACTCATACAACAGTTTTTCAGACTTCTCTTGGTATTTTTTAAAAAATGTCTCCATTACTTCTTTTGTTGCTTTATTAGAGGTATATTTTTTACTGTTAGACCCTTCTGCTTAGACTTTGCATGTACATCATTAATATTTGTTGTTTCTTGAACTGCTCCTGTAGTGTTAATATCTGAACCATTAATTGTAATAGCATTAGTGTCATTTGAACCATTCTCCGTCTCGCAATTAGTCTGCACAATCTGTTCCTTTTCACTATCAGATTTACTCTCTTGATCATTTTCACTAAGCTCATCTGCTGTGGACATCTATACATTGCTAGAAACAAATGGTTCATCGTCGTCAGCTACTTTTGACTCCAAAAGTGACAGTGGTAAAACTACAGGGTGGGCATCAAGTATTACGTCTAATTCCTTATTATACTTAAATGGTTTTCTGCCATTACGAAACTTGTTTGCTTTAGCTTTTTTAAAGTCAGTCTTCAAATTCTTGATCTTATCCTTACACTGTTTCCAGTCTTCAAATTATCCAATATCTTCCAGCTTCTTTGATATTTTTTGATATATTCAGCCCAAAAGCAACCGTCATAAACCGGAAGCGAATTATTTGCAAAGGAAATAGGTGTGTCACTTCAAAATGGCTGCTAATGATGGACTTGGAGTACAGCATTTTTCTTCTAGTGTTTCATCATTTTATAAGTTTTCAAGTGTCTGGAAGAAGGTAAACCAGATAGTTTTAGGGTTAACTGATCATATTTTTATAAAATTTGCATTTTTGGTTGTCACTTATGCGTTTCATTAATTTGTGATAACACCATATAATCTTTATAATGGATTTTTCCCAATGTTGTCCTAACTGGACAGTTACAATATAATTGAATAATGGTAGATATAACATTTTACTATACTTTTAAACAGAAATCAAACATTTTAAACTCAAAAGCCAGGTTTGTGCTGTACTAAAATATGTGCATGCATATTAAGAGATTAATTGCTCATGAATATAATAGTCTGTGTCTGTAATAATTGAGCTTTTGAGCTTTATAGCTAATTGAGCTTTATACCACACTAAACATAAATAGTCATCAGACTGCATAGCTTGATCAAATATTTGAGATGCAATAGTTGCATCAGGGCTATGACGATTAAAAGGTTTCCCTAATTTAGGGTATGCATGACAGCAGCTACAATGTATGGGATTAACTGTCCTATAGACCTCATTGTAGTGGCTTTTACATAAAAGAATGTCTTCGTTGTGTGTGGCATTAATCCCCA